TTTCATCCTTGAATGATAGCGGTTCAAGAGATTGTATCAAAACGTCCAAGAGTGGAAATTTTTCAAAAAGAGTTTTTGCACCGCTTCTTTTTTTTGTTTTTCGTTGTAATTTTTCACATAGTTCTGTTACCAGCTGAAGTTTAATTAAACACTGGGGCACTTCATACGCACGAGCGTATTATCAGTGATGGGATGGAGCGGTCGATATCCTATAGGCTGAAGCATGAAGCAACTGATAAGGATGCCCGCTAACAAATTACTTGTATAAGGGAACTACTTACAATTCGTACAGCGAACCGTAACATATCCACGTGTTTACGCCACTTTCTACAATATCTTACAGATCAGTGGTGGACTTGCAACTGCGATTGAGCAAATCCCTTCATTTACTGCGATGCCGGTCTACGGGTTGAATTGTTTCTCACTTATGAAGTATGACACCGTAGTATTCTCTAGAAGCGCCGTAGATCTACTAGAAGAGCGCTTACTGAAACAGCTTCATAGAGCAGGCCCTCTAAACAAAAAATACAGGTGAGTCATATTTATGTGAGATACGAATTTTATAAGTGAAGGCTCTTGCAGATATATGGACTACAAAGAGCGGATACTGAACGAAGGCGAAGGAGAAGACGATCCCGAACAGCCTCCTATAGTTTAAATTATAGAAATAAAAAGTTGCACAATAGAAAACTCTAACTCTTAAAATTCCTCATCTCAAATAATTGAAAGTGACATCTTTCTCGAATTTAAAAAGTTGTATAGTCATACATACGCTGTTATCTTGTTGTACGCAAAATGTTGGTCCTCCTTAAGGCTACCGACCTGGGATTGAGACATTACTGCCTTTTTTTTTGCTCTAATAATAAAACTATGTCAGATGGTTACTATTCTGCATGCACACCATACGCAAGACATTAATAAGATCATTTGCAGTGGTCTCATTTCTTAAAATATTGTAGAAGAGCTTGTAAACTCGTTGTTACTTTGCATTTGTACAGCAACATTTGCTTTTTGTTGACAGTGTTCTTTTGAATCCTTTTATCCAAGTAAAAAATTCTACTCGGAATTTCTTCTTTGATGTATGTCGGAAGTCGTTGTTCATATTTTGCAAATGTGCCTTTTTTCAGTGTTATTCTGACATTGTTTTGGAGCAGGGATTTCAATCACTTAAATTGTAGACAATGTCAGCACATGATGGGGCTGGCAGTAAGCAGATTCCGTTAGCTCAACGGATCCTAGCACTCCAGGCACGTAACAAAAAGCAGTTGCACATGTGTGAGGCTAGTCGCACTTCACAAAGTAAGTTGCATCAATAGTGTATTTATTCTGCTCCTTTTGTAAGACACAGTGTCTTTCTTCCTTAAGGCGATAACATCTAACGGTGCAAATACGATGAAAGTGACCTATTAAGCAGACATTAAGATCAGGGTCCCTCTAGCTTTTAATGCATCTGTTTTGTTTTAATCGAATGTTCAAACTGCTGGCTTTGGCATAAAGATTGTTATGGCCATTTTGAACCTTTGCTTCTTAATGAGTCTTAGCTGCTTTTCTAGGCGAAGGAAATAAAGAGAACAGCTACCTTTCCTCATCTATGACCTGCAGACAAAATAAGACAGCTCCACCTGGCGAAATGTTTGACATGAGCAAGATGAACGATAGTTTGGGTGTATGTTCAAAGTATTTACTCTTTTGACTTCAACTTAGCGAGCAACTCGTTCCTGCAGATCGTTCGTCATAATGTGAGCACTAGTGCTTCGGACCATCAACATCGAGAAATTAAGATTATCACGCGAACACTCAAAGAGCGTCACTTGGGAACACCAAGACAAACTCCGAAGCTTTCAGCTATACCAGAGAAGATCAGTGCTAAGGACAGGTTGAATCTCTTTGCCCATTTTGTATTACATCTTACCTATGTTCTTTGGGAGCTTTTATTTTA